CCTAGTCAGAGCTCCACAATCCTTGTAGCCGAAGTTTTCTTAGTAAACGTGCCAGGTTCGCCTCTCTCTACAGGCTTCTTTATTTATGTTATACTACCCCCCCCCCCCCACTCTCTAACGAGCGCCATGAATTTTATCATGTATTTATATGTGCCGTTTTCCCGCCATTTTTAGTTCTAAACCACTCTTCTGATTCTAGTGAAGAACAGAGGAGAACTAAGAGAATATAATGCCCAAGAAAGGTTCCAATAGGACAATCTATCAATCTTTTTCTCTTGAAAGCTCATCTCAAACAATGTTCTTCAAACTTCCTTTGAACTTTCCGGTGATGAAGGTGCGTGGCGTCAGCCACGCACTTCGAAAAATTTTTTGGTATGCTCCCTAAAATTTTCGCGGGTTCAGAACCCCGAAATTTCAGAAAAAGGAAGCGTGGCTGACGCCAAGCACCTTCATCAGAAAGAGATTTTTGTCGCTTTTAAAAAAAATTTTTTTTATAAAGCTAAAATGAATTTTTGAAAAATTTTAAAAATTATTTTTATTATTTACAAGTGCAGACAAGTCATTTGCACAATTTCATAACCCATGTAAGTAACTTTCGAAAATTTCGCGACCCGTGCTCGGGGGGGGGGAGACCCCCCCCTTCGGTACGCAACTGTTCTCACCAAAATAATGTAACTTTTACTGTTTACCGAAAATTTCCAACACTTTTCAGAGGCTCGCACAGAATTTTGACCAAGTGCACGTTTTTCACAATTTGAATTTGAAGAATCAACTGCACTTCCGTAACCGTTCACCTATGATACTGCTCCTCAGAATGAGTGTTTCATGAAATTTCCCCTTGACCTCCACTCTCATAAATAGAGCAAACTGTTCTGCAAACTGCTCCTGTCTCCAGGTGTTCCTAGCAAATACTTCGGATTTTTCACAGTTGATAGGTTCTAATCACTATTCACCACTAGAAGAAATACTATCAAAATATAAAAATTAATTCCAGGTAAAAATGACTGCACGAAAGCGCCCGGGTCGCTGTAGGCTGAAGCACGCGAGCGTGCCTGCAACGCGGCTACCGAGCACGTGCGCTATGAGACTCATGTGCGCGAATGCCGATGTTGGCTTGCAAGAGACACGCGTGCGGGCGTTTAGCCCGGTCGATATTCCGTGCAGTCAACTATGTCCTATTCTTTTTTCCCAAAATTTATTTTTGAATTGTGTACAACTTGTCTCTCACTCACAAAATTTTTTTCGCCAAAACTTTGAAATTCCCGCGTTTTCCTTTTTAGTGTTTTTGTTAGCCTATGCTGTTTTTCCTAGTTCTAACTCGAAGTGGCCCAAGATTTCACCTTTTCTACGACTCGCAATATCAAATGCTGAGCAAATGACTGAGAAGATGCTTGAGTATCAAAATGAATAACGAGAAAAATCAGATCTATACTAGCTGCTGCAGATGTGACAACTTTTCGGCAGTATTCTTGTACGCCCAAATGTTAGACCTGGTCAAGTGTTTGATACCATTCAAAGGCGACACACATTTATAGCTTTGATAGCAGCAGTAGCTTGGTGACAGTAAGAGAAAGAGAGAAGAAACGCGAATTGTTCTCACAAAGAACAGCACTAAGCAAAAACTTATTTGCTTTTGGACCATCAAATATGAAAAGAGAAAGAGTTTGAAGGCACTGGTGTGTACGTGTTTTTGTCCAAGGACGCACTAATACAGCGGCCTTCCTACTAAACAGACATGGTGTAAGATTAAATTCAAATTATTCAGCAGAAATTTTCAATCGTTTAGAATCCACGACCATAAGCGATATCATAACATGAATGACGTTTGGATTATTTTTCAAATATCAAATATTACTACCATACCACCAGCATCCTTCTATTCAGTGAATACGCTCGTAAAATCTGATTTTCTCAGCAGAAATATTTCAATCATTTTTCAGAAAGCCAACATTTGCCAGGGAACAATAACGAGATTCAAGATTTTGTTTTTGAATTATGAAATATTTGTTTGGTTGCAGGAGAAAAGTTGGCTCGATTCTGGAGATGGTTGCTCATCTATGTTCGCTAATAGTACAGCGTCCTTCAATTCGAATCAGTTTGACTGATTTCAACGGTCTGATGGCTCAGCAGGACAGTATATAACATATATAACATGTATTCTGTTGAGAACAGCCATCGGTCGCCTCCGTTGACAACAGCCATCGGTCGCCTTTGTTGAAAACAGCCAACCGTTGTCTCTATCGAGGACAACCATCGGTTGTCTCACTTAGAGGACAACCTCGGTTTTCTCTGATGAAAACAGCCATGTCTCCGTCGAGGACAGCCATCGGTTGTCTCTATCGAAGACAGCCATCGGTTGTCTCTATAGAGGACAGCCATCGGTTTCCTCTGATGAGGACAGCCATGCCTCTATCGAGGACAGCCATCGGTTGTCTCTATCGAGGACAGGCATCGGCTGCCTCTGTTGAGAACAGCCATTGGTTGTCTCTATCGAGGACAACCATCGGTTGTTAAAAAATTGAACCACTGGCTCAACACCTCAGTCGAGGTGACCATCCGGGCCGGTATGTATCAATCTCCCGTCCGGGTAGGGGTTCCCGCCCGGGTCGTTACCCGACCGGGCACGGGCGCCCGCACCCGCGATGCATCATTCTGGGATGTCAGTCGGGCAAGTGCCCGGGCTGCCTAGTTGGGGATCAGTAGCATGCGTGCTGACGCATGTCTAGTACGTCTGCTGACGCGTACTCAAAAGTGCGGCGTTCACTCGCTTCTGTGCATTTCTTTCTGCTGAAGTTTACTTCGCGCATGTTCGGTTTGTATTCTTTTCCTCGACACAGTGGCGGACATTTCACGCATCATTTCGCGCTTTAGCAGCTTCTTCAGACGATCTGTCCATGGCTCATGTTTTAGTAGCGCGTGTGAGGACTCAAAAATGATGTTGACTCTGGCAATTTGACAACGGTGGAAGTAACAGTGTGTGTATAAACTTGTTCGGCTTTTGAATGTTGTTGGACGAAATCTTTTACATTGCAAGAAATCGAAGAAGGGGCTGTTTCTTTGTGTCCAATATACTCGTTATTGAGAAGTGAAGCATTGTTACAAAACAGTAAGATGAGCGTCGACGAGCTAGCAAAGAGGCAAGGACGCCTTTATCTTTTTCTCACTCACCGTTTTTTTCACTTCTCTTTACTGACTCATCCCGGCATGAACTCGAAAGATTTCAGAATTTGCACATTATTGTGTGCGTTAATCCAGTGGAGGAAAGAGTTTCCAGCCACAAGTTTAATACGATTGATTGTTGTGAATGATTGCTTTACATCTTCCAATATCGAAGCCTTTATGTGCAAACTGCAACGATGACAAATGAGCTTAGCAGAGAAAAGCAAAGTGAGATTGCAATTAAACTTTCTTCTCTCGAAAGGATCCGTCTTTTCATACGTGATCTGTAGCGATGATAGCCTTGTTCTTGAAACTGTCCATGTTTCGATTTGCGTCGAATGTTCTTGTAGATTCTCCCGGGTTTCTGATTGGATGCTGAAAAAACAAAGTTGAATACTATTTGAGGATTTGCGGAAATTTGAGCCATATACACTAATACAGCTACATACATATATCTACATCAATAGCCCTAGCTGTAAGCACCATGATTTGGCACGAAACGAAAAGCTTAAGTTTAATCACTTATCTGTAACCTCCATGAAAGCCGGCTATGCTTAGTACGTTATTCGATAATCACCCGGCGTTTACCTGAGAAAGAACAATTAGAAGCCAATCCTACGTCAAGCATGACAATGGCTCCCTATTTTGGAGGTACACAAAAGACACCAATAAGAAAAGGAGCTTTCGTCCGACTCCTTTTGCGCTTTTAACTTTTCCAAAAAACAAAAAAGATGAACTAAGATGATTAGAAAGATTAATGAAGAGCAAACTGACTGAGCAACTCACCATCCCGGGCATGCAGTGTGGTAAAGTGTGACCATCACTTTATCCAAGGTTGTTTCAACCTTGGAGATCTGCAGCTACCCTGGCTCTTCCAGTATGGCTAGAAGTAAAAGCAGATACATGAAAAAGATATGTTTGAATTACCCGCAACTTCATAAAATGGAACAGAAAGTTAAAGTGGTAAGATGATCGATACAGCAAGATGGAAATGAACATAGGAAAAACCCAACATAGGAAAAACCCAAAAACTGGTGAAAATAAAATGGCTTTTGACTAGGAGAATCACTAAGAAAAAACTTGACACCAACCTGCGTAAGTTATACACCGTTGTTCAGTGATTCGAACTGCACGTGGCCGAAATGTCTCTACGTCAACGGCGAAAGACGAAGCAAAAACGAAGGCAAATAAGCCGAAAACGTCCTCGCCGTCCACTTCAAATAAACTGTGGAAACAGCTAAAACATCTCCCATATCTGCAAAACATGAAGCAAAATTAAACACTAGATAAGCAAAGTGTCGGCTTTTGCAAAAGAGGAAAAGCGCTTCAAATACACAGCAAATGATCAAAAAATAAAGGGAGAGAATCTCGGTCTCGTTCCCCCACTCTATAGCACTCTACGGTAAGAAGAGAGGGCATGACTAGGAAAAATGAAGGAATAATTCGCAATTTCATCGAAAAAACGTGATTGATCCGATCTCCCAGCAGAGTGCCCGATCTCGCGAGATCGGGCTTTCCTGCCCGTCCGGGTTGGGCGCTCGCGAGTTTCAAACATCGTGGGTCGGGCGCCCGCTCCCGGCGGGGCGCTCATTTCCAATGGTTAGCGAGCGCCCGGGCGCGGTTCCGGAGATTGATACATACCGGCCCCGGTCCCTCAGTTGCGGTTGAACCAATGGTTCAATCGACGAAAGCGTACGGATATATCCTCGGTGAAACCGGAATTTTTGAAGATAAATCTCTGGAAAAAAAACTTTTCATTTCCTTCTTTTATACAGCCAAAAAACAAAACACACAAATTCAAACAAAAAACTACAAAACTTCTACAAAAAACTTCAAGTGATTCACTCTACACTAAAGACTTCATCGAGATCATCTTTTTCCCTCGCCTCCGGCTTCTGCTTTATTACTTCGTTTTTGAAGAACTCCTTCATAACTTTCATAAACTGCTCCAATGATTGTTCGCCGTCGCCGCTGCTAGGGCCAGCAGCTGTCTCTGACTGGCTTTCCGGCTGGACCGGCTGGACTTTCGGTGTGGTCGGCGGTGGAGTGGGCGGCGCATATCTATAGCAACGAAAGAGATTAAGAAACAAACAACCATACAATATTCAAAACTTACTTTCGTTTAGGCACGAACGTTTCTGCATTTGATAAGATAGGCTTGAATGGCGGCCTTCTGTAAATGATATTTTTATCTAAGAAGAAAAGTTTGACAAACTCCCTTCCTTTGGCGGGCGGAAGTCGTGGTTGTTGTGGGGGCTGCGGTAGAAGTGGTTGACATTTGCTCGATTGTATAAGATTTAGTAAACGCTGCCCTTCCCTATGAAGAAGTCCCTTTGAGGAACAAGTAAAGGGATTAGATCCGCCATTTTAATTCGAATTTTGGTTGTTTCAGACATTCTGAAAAGACTGGATCAATGGTAGACATTCTGAAAAGACTGGATTAATGGTTGCATTGAGCCGAGGACGCCACCAATTTTTGCCGGCTGGGGCAGGTGCTCCAGACGCTGCCGTCGGGAAGAGCAGCCACGCGACCACTAGCTCACGGCCAACGAAGGCTGTGGGGTAGTGGCCGCTCTACCGGTCTGGGGGATCGACAGTGGGCGAATTGGCGGTGGCTGCTCCTCCTGGCGGCAGCGTCTGGAGCATGTGTCCCAGCCGACGAGGATTGGTGGGCTCGGGATGGCGTCCTCGATCCTCCGTCGAGTGCACCGGTACGAAATGAACCGAAACCAAGTACATCCCATCGGAGGTCTCTAAGGCGCGCGGCGTATACTTCATAGGCGTTAGGCTTGAGCTCTCTCTATGTTTGTGGGGTATATGTCAAGATGAACGATAGCTGGTACTAGTGGCGCGCGGGGTCATGAACTGGCAATAACGTGTTCGCTCGAAGCTCCGCCCTACTGCGGCGGACGAGTTTCTCGGACGATACCGTCAAGTAAAAATAACTTTGATGGTGAGATACAAGCTTGTTGCAAGCTGCGGTGAAGCTTGACTATTTACAGAATTTGTTTTGATTTTCTTTTCTTTTTTGGCAATCAATGAATAGCTGATGTGTTGGTCGTGAAATTCGATAGATTTGCTGATTTACCAATGAATGACCGAGTGACTCCTGGATATCCAACTTTGAAGTGTGAAATCAATCTAGAACACCTCAGGCATGATTGTCTGAGTGACCTCACATCTTATGACTAGTTCGCACGCAATTTCGATTGAGTTACAGATCGATTTATATTGAGGATAGCAGTTTTTGGAAGCAAATTGAAAGACTTTTGTTATTCAAAGCAGATTCGAAAATATATAAGTGCAGTATGATTGTCCTGAAATCTGAGAATTTATGTGATATGACCGCATATTTGCAAAACGAGTTAGTTTGCTCGAAACAAAATTCGCCTATAATGCTTGTTTTAAATTCTCGTCGCAATGAAATCTGTTTTTAGCTATGATTAGGGTTTTGTAACTTACTTAGTTTTAACTATAAGCTGCTGCAAGACGAAGGCGGTCGGTTCGATGTGCAATGCGGCTGCGACATGGCTGCGTCACAGCAGCGTCACAGCCGCCTCACAGCCATGTCGCGCCTCGAACCAACCGCCTTCGTCTTGCAGGAGCTTATAACTAACTTAGTTTTGTAAATTAATGGTGTTGGTCATTTGAGCAATAATAATAGTATTTCTCGATAAGCTGACTTCTTTTTGAACTAAACTTGAGAGTGCACAACAAAGCATCATGACTTATAATAACGGGCTAAGGATGTTTACGTGACTTTGTGTGTGTGTGTCTGTGTGTGTGTGTGTGTGTGTGTGTGTGTGTGTGTGAGAGTGTGTCTGTTACGAAATTCGTGGAGCGTGTTCCCGCCAGCGTTCTAAGCCCAAATTTTGCATAGCGCATGCTACCTTCATGAAAGTTCAACATGCAAAAGCATGAGTAAATTCGTTGAGTGGATCCCTCAGAAATTGCGCGCCAAACGGGTCCACCTGGCCTCTGTACCGCATTCGGTCCGTATCACCACTTTTTGCAGAGTCGTGGATGAGTTTGGTAAGCAAATGTGCAAGCGATGGAGCTTAGCCCGAGAAATGGTCGAAAGTTTATTACATAACGAAAACGGCGCCAAAAAGAATTGGTTGTGTAAATGGTCAATTTGCCAAGGTTCTAGCTAGGCGTTTGAAAAGATTTTCGCACAGGGATGTAGCTCACGGCTACTATTACTTCTATGGCGACTACCAAGCCATGACATATTCAAATTTGCGTTTGTCTTCCTGCGAAAAGTTTCATCCACGCGAAATCACCGATCTCACGTGAAAAAACTTTCTAAATGAGTGATTGTTTACATTTTATTCATGGTAGTCGGCATAGCGCGGTGAGTTCCAGTGCCACGATTTTACGAGAATGAGTAAGGCACATAGATAGTAGAGCCAGTGCGAGCCTCTGCGAAGGAGAGGTGACGCACTGGTATTCAATATGGAACAAATATGAGTGGAGAAAAACACTTTTTCAAGCATTTTCGAAACAATTTTCTCATACCTGCAATGAAAAATCATTTTGAACAAGCCTACTAGGAACAAATAATTGAAATACATTAAAAAGAGCTTGCGAACTAATCTATAATGGAAAATGATCTGAAAACTGATTTTCAGTTTAATTGAAATTTTGAAATCTACTGTTAGGGTTCCTTCATACTACGCCGCGTACGCCACGTACGCTGCGTACGCCGCGCACGCCGCGTACGCCGCGTACGCCGCTGCAGCGCAATGGAAATATGCTCACGGCAGCAAAGCTCCACTTTTTTTATGTGTCTCTATATTTGCTGCACAAATTTGCGCCTTGCTGCTGTTTGCTGCTTGCTCTCTATATTCGTGTCTCTCAATAGTGTTCCTTCGCATTATGCATTTCTTCTTCTCTTTTGCCTTGTTTATCCTGACTATCCTTTGTCTACATCAATTATTGATGGAATGACTTAGGTTGTTGTGCTCCCTCTACTCTTGAGTTCCATATTTTGTATCGTAACTGACTGCACATTGCGTCATCTGGTTGTATATTGGTAGTATATGGTTGTATGGTTGTACGTTGTATCTGGTTGTATATTTGCGCTGTTAACATCTCCTTACAAACACATCACTGAATTGAAAGGATTTCTCTTCTTCATATTTCCACATTTCCATTGCGCTGCAGCGGCGTACGCTGCGTGCGCGGCGTACGTGGCGTACGCGGCGTGCGCGGCGTACGTGGCGTGCGCGGCGTACGTGGCGTGCGCGGCGTACGCGGCGTAGTATGAAGGAACCCTTACCCAAATTGCAACCAACTGCAGAAGCATGAACGAAGTATTAGAGAGTTTTCCAATAGCGCAACGCATTCCTAGGCTAATTAACAAGGGGGCGGAGCGATCAGCGCACCGCGTACAGTACCCAGCTGGCGGCTGGCACATGCTATCGTTCATCTTGACCGCCACCCCTAATGGTCAGACAAACAGAGATAGAGCTCAAGTTTTGCAGAATTCACCTACGGGGCTGGGAGTCAGCACAGGGGGTAAATGAGCATGAGAATTACGACTACAATATTAGTCTTCAGAATTATCAATTACTTATATCGAATTTTACTGGTTTTCTACAAAGTTTGAGCTATGGGGCTCGGATTTGGCATGGAGGCTAGGGTAGACATGCCGATGGGTGTGGTGCGGAAGGCGACAATCCCCAATTTTGTGCCTATCAAAAACTCTCCGGTGTCAAAGTGACACCCCGGGGGACTACGGGGGTGGGGGGTGGGGGCAGATACATTACTCAATGCCACAAGTAGAAATCCGTGAAAGTCATTGAGACGAATGATACACAGCCTCCATTTTTCGCCAATTGTCGCCTTCCGCGTGCCCTCCTCCCCCCCCCTTCCAGATTCGTGTGAAGGTGGAGTCTTGTCAGCTCACAGCGTGGTGGTTTTTGCTAGCGAGAAAGATCGAAAAGCTATAACGCGGAAAATTAACAAGTTTATCCGTGTCATCAGGCAAAATCTGCAGTACACCTCCACACGAATCTGGAAACCGATCATATTTTTTGGTATTTCGTTTGCAAACACAGGCTATCTAATTAGTGGCGACGTTCGAAAGTGGAAGTGCCACCATAGTGTAAAGAAGGCTAAGCAAAGGTATGTATGCGAGCCCAAACATTTCCTGAACTCGTTAGTGTTCAACAAACATTCTTTCCTCAATGGCTCTCTGAAACAGTCTAACAAATTCTTACTGCGTTTTACTCTGCACAAGGATGCGCTAAATTTGTTCTAATTTTTGATAGAGGAAGCAGCAATATTACCATTTGACTTGCAATCGTAGAGAATGCAAACCTTTTAACTGAAGAGGAAGTTTTCTTCTTTTATACTCCCTACGAACTTGTATGTGTTCGAGAAAAAGGACTTGCTCATTTTACTTTTAAGCAATTTTTTACCATCTTACCTACAGTGAAAAGCACGAAATGCTTGACTGTTTGAGATAAAACAGGTATGTTTCATCTCGACCATAATTTCGATCTCTCTTATACATAACTTAACTGTTGCAAGTGTTCTTCCTTCCAACTATTATTTATACTTTGTCAAATTTATCGCAGATGGTCAATCGTTACTACAGCTTTATCTAACCAAGAACTGTATTATTTGAAAGAGTAAATTAGCATCACCTTTTTACAAATATATTATCGCATCAAGCATAATCAGCAGAACGAGCCAGCTTTATTAAAAGATAGATGCTTATTTGAGGAAAGAGGACTGTGTTTATGCGAATAATTCCCAAAGATGATTTATATGTTCGGGATGGGAGCTGTGAGGCGTTGTCACATGAGTTGTTGTACAAGGAAAGAGTGAAATTTACTTCCTAAACGTTGTTATGTTGTTAACAATGCTTTGTATTAGGTTGTTACATGAGTCTTGTCACACTTTCAATAATTACGGCCATAAGTCGTACACTTCATACAGTACTGCTCATAATCCGTCAAAAAAGTCGTCGCAGTCCACTAGAGCGCGCCATAGTGCGCTGGAGTGCGCTGGAGAGCAGCGGAGTGTGCTGCACTCCGCTAGAGTGCGTCGAAATCCTCCTCGCATCGCCATATCTCGCTTCAGAATAAACGCATTTTGACTTCAAGAAAATCATTCGATTCAGCTCGGCGATTCGCATAATTTGATTTATAGAAGTGCCACAATCTGTCGGCGTACGGTGGGTACACGGTAGACAGTAGGTTTTTGCTCAATTTCGCAGGTTCTCGTGGTTGGATTGTTCAGTCTACTGATAAAAATATTGCCATTGATTTGCTGCTGATGCCACATTGTAGAAATACTGTAGAAGGTATGGTAGAGAGTCACTCTGATGGATTTGTTCTGAAATCAGTCCGAGATACAATACCGCTCACCAAATGTGCAAATTTCCGTGAACGTCGCGGAAGTCTCCGAGATTTCGCGAAATTGCGCCACTCTCCCGGAAGTGCGCGATCTCAGAAATGTCGCGAAATCACGGAACCACACAAGCTATACAACGCCATAATTTTCTTCGGGATGAATATACTCTGAATCCAGAAACAGCAATGTGTTCAGCTCGTCAAGGCAAATCTCCAGATTTACAGCATGCCCTCGACATTCCGTTTCCAAATTTCTCAAATTTTTTTTGCAAAGGGCCCTTCGCATAGATGTAAAGCAGCGCTTGTTTAACATAAAAGATTCTAGTGTTCGATAGTACTGTTCTTGTAGATTGTCATGCGCTAAGTAGTAGCCGC